GTGGAGAGGCCCTTTTTTTTTCTGCTTTACTTCACAGCATCTTTCCGCTGTTAAAAAAAAAAAAAGTCCCTCTTCATGTGTGACTTGCAGACCAGCGCAAAGTCTGACACAGAGAGGGCCGCAACTGTGTCCCATATGCCACGGGCATTTGTGTGTGAGCAGCTCCTTACACAAATATCTTCTTGTTTTTCTTTTTTTTTTTAATAAAAGGAAACACATTTATTACTCATTAAGCAAAGGAGGGGCTGGCCACCCCACATAAAGGCCGGCGCTGGGAGCCTTACCCAGCTTCGCTTTTTACAGGACCCAAGTGGGACCCGAAGTGTCCGTTCGACAGTTCGACTATATAACCTATGACTAAGTTCCTAAGAAACAAAACTGTAGTCCCAAACTGGCCAGTACTTCTCCGAACTTCTCCTTCCCAAACTGAACCCTTTACCCTTACTTCTACTCTGTCACCCTCCCACATCATATATATATGTATACATGTGTATATAGGCTGGTCCCCGGGCTGCCCGGCGGCCTGGTCGTCGCCCGGGGGGGGGCCGGGCCGCCTGGCCGGTTGTCACGCCCGGTTGGCCACCGGGCGCCCCCAGCGCATCAGTGTAGGTTAATTTTTTTATTTTTAAAACTAAGCTATACTATATTCTTCTCTCAATTTCACCTTTCACTACCTACCTACCACTACTCCTAAGCCTATACAGGGGACCCCTGAAAGCATTGCTACCTCTCACAACTAAGAGGTGGTATCAGGGAGTAGGGTGGGGACGCTGGTGGGGGAGGCCAGCTAACACCCTAATCGGCGGTGGTCAGGGAGTAGGGTGGGGCCTGGCTAACGCAAGGACTGAGGACTTTGCAAGTAGCTGTGCCTCCCATCTACTTCCCCCGCCCCCATCGAGTAACAGCAGTGTCTATGGCCAGCACTCTCCCACACACCACACAACACACACACACACACACACACACACACACACACATGATGGCCAAGGACCCTACCAATACCGAACAGGGGGAGCAAGCCAACTATCTCAGTTGGCACCAAGGGTGGGCAGTGGGGATTGAACCCACAACCCCTGAATGCAATTTGCATGCCTAACCAACCGAGCTTGGCTGTGTGCTCCACCATGCAAATGGCACTCCACAATGGCTCAGATTCCTTGAAGCTGGGCAAAAGTCCTCGTTGGTTACAGGGCAACCCCCCAACACCAACCTGACTGCGACCATGTGTTGAACCAGGAAGCAATCCATTGCTGATTTTGGCCAAACGGTCACACGGGGCTGCCGGCCTTTTTGTGATGGGCACTCAGAGCCTCTCCATGACCTGGTGTTTACCAAAGGGCATATTTTCAACGACTGGGGAGACAACTGTTTGTGCCCCTAAGTTAATATTATTGTATTTGCTAATGTGGGGGTGCAGGAACTCAGCGCTAAGGGCCGGGATGTTATGTTTTTGTTTCTTAACTTTGTTTGTTTGTGTTTTTTTTCGTGTGTGTGTCTGTTGTCATTTCGCTATACACAACTCCACAAAAAAAGCATGACGGTGCAAGTCTGAGACTGTTTCGTTGGACTTCACCAACTCATCAGGGGTGTGTGTGTGTGTGTGTGTGTGTGTGTGTGTGTGTGTGTGTGTGTGTGTGTGTGTGTGTGTGTGTGTGTTTTGTATGAGACAGGATACTACCGCGACGCCAATCACGGCGAGTTGTCCTTGAAAATGCGATCAAAAGTCATACCATCAGAAGGCTGAGTGAACCACATCGTATGGAGAAGGCTCATTCACCCCGTACACAAAAGCAACAAACGTGCATACATCGACCTCTATCTTTCACCAATCCTACCGACACCACAGGACCATGGCCCGAAGGCATTAGGCCACAAGACCACAAAAGGAAAGCAAAAGACAATCACAACTAGAAAAAAACGACATAAGACAATAGACAAGGCATAGAACAACGTGCAACAGCGAAAGGTTGGAGGGCAAGGGGGAGGCGGGTGGGCAGGCAGACAGCACAAAACAACAAAGCACACTGGGTGAAAGGCATGGGGTAGAAAGACGGGCAAGCAAACAGCGTAAGGCAGCGAGGGAAACCACAGCAAGACAAACGACAAAATGCAAAAACAACACCCGAAAAAAATACAAGTATACACAAAGCAAAGACTGAAAAAAATACAAGTATAAACAAAGCAAAAACTGCAAAAAATTAAAACTGATGATAGATTGTTTCGTCGGAGTTGCACCGACTCATCAGGAGGCTGAACCCTCGACAATCTGCGGAATCTCCGTATTTGATGGTTTGGGTCATGAACCCTTTGACCCTTGTTGAAGGCAGACTGTCCCAAGCGGAACATAGCAGCGGGCAGCAACCCTGTGGAGCACCAAGCAACACGGTAGAGGCAACACAGCTGCACAACGCCAAAAACGACTGCAAGGAACGACATGCATGCAGGGCGTGCAGTGTGGCAACCGTGTAGCGAAGCACAAGACAACACAAGCAAGCCCATGGCACTGCGGGGGACGACAGGGCGAGTGGACCAGCAGCTTGGCTACCGTGGAGCGGAGCACAAGGCACCAGCAACAAGGCAACCAACCTACAGGGCACACAAGCGGCAAACACGGAAGGCACGGCAGTGAAGCAGCGAAGCGCAAGGCGACACCAACAACATGGCCACACCGCACACTGCGCACAGTGAACACATCAACCTGCAAAGAACCACATGCGAAGCAAGCGGGACAGGCAGCAGGGCAGCGGCGGAGCGCAGACGAGGACGTCTACACATCCAACACGGGTCAAAGCAGCACATGACCCTACCCACATCACGATTGAACCCCGCAGACTGTTGGTTCCCACCACCCACTGAGCCAGGAAGTCACTCCGACGAACATCCGTCATCACCGACAGGCAACACAGACATCCTGAACCGAGCGGCCCATAAGAGTGCAGTAGGCACTCCAAACGAGGAACCACCGACTACTGCTTGGCACTACTAAAGGGTGCTCAGTTGGGCACACAAAAAAATACTTAGAAAACATCAGAGGGAGGACAGACAACACACGAAAGACTGGCAGACATAAAACTGTGTGTGTGTGTGTGTGTGTGTGTGTGTGTGTGTGTGTGTGTGTGTGTGAGAGAGAGAGAGAGAGAGAGAGAGAGAGAGAGAGAGAGAGAG